GCTGTATGTGGATGGTGCGGGAATCAGGCGCAGGACACAGAAGCTTCGTACAACAGTCTTTAGTGGTGAAATACGAGCAAAAGTGCCCGGAGACGAGCGATACGCACACAGGCGTAAACAAACAGGAAAAATACATAAGCGCACAGAAAGTGCTAAAACCTCTCCTAACATACAAGGAGGGAAAACCAATACCGACACGTAGACAGGACGCTCAATAACACACAACACATGACTAACAAAACGAGAACTTATAGGACACATAATCAACGCTAACTAACCACAGGTGTACAACAATCAGACAAAAGCAAGCGAACATAGAAACATACAACGGTGGCAGCTAGTACTCCGGGGACGACGACCGCCGAAACCTGCCCGAGCAAGGAGGAGGAGCAGCCTCGGCAGATTCCGTGACATGCAGATACCGAGGTTGGGAGAGGATGATGGTGGAAGTGGTTAATGAGTTCGAATTAAGCAGTACATCGAGAACATTTGGTGAAGACTAATGTTCTGGATGGACAACAGTAATATCAAAAACTGGAATAAAAAGGAAATAGTCTAAAATTGGAGTGGAGGATACGTGTGGAAATGATAATGATTCACTTCTTGTTGGGATGCAGTTGTTGAGTAAGGATGCATATGTGGGAAACCCGTTTGAGGTGTCGAAAATGGTGATGTATGCGCTTGGAAAAGTGGAGTCTGTCAGGGTGACCAGAAGTGGTCTTATTTTGATTAATTGTATTTCTGACGAGCAGAGGAAGATTGCAGTGGGCCTCAAAAGAATCCGGACAACAGAAGTTTTGTGTTTTGAACTTCGGAGTAGAGCACCGGTCAAAGGAGTCATCTCAGGGGTGACGACGAATGTTCAGGTTGAATACCTGAAGAGAATTCCTGGTGTGGTTGGTGCCCGGCGTCTGACCCGCTGGGGGAATGGAAAAAAAGAAGAAAGTCTGTCGGTCCTGTTGTTTTTTGAAAATGAGCAATTACCTACGCATGTGAAGCTTGGTTATGTAAAATATGCCGTAAGAGCTTTCGTCCCCAAACCACTGCAGTGTAAAAATTGTAAAGGATTTGGCTATGTTTCAAGTGTGTGCAGACGAACAGAGGATACTGAAGAACAGTGTGTAGAAGGACGATGTTGTTGCAATTGTGGTGGGGATCATGATCCTGAGTTCCTGGAGTGCCCTTTAAGGGTGAAGGAAATTGAGGTGGCAAAAGTTAGAGCACATTCGCCATAAGCACAAAGTCTCAGCTTCCCCAGCCCACCACACCGAACACAGAATTGCGCTGCCTGTGTAAACGCAGCTAGTATGGTTCAGCATAAGACCATGTAGAACAGAGGTCTCTAACCCTGTTCCTGGAGAGCTACCCTCCTGTAGGTTTTTGCTCCAGTTGTAACTAACCTGGTTCAGCTTATCAACCAGCTAATTATTAGAATCAGGTGTGCTAGATCAGTGTTGGAGTGAAAACCTACTGGACAGTAGCTCTTCAGGAACAGGTTTGGCGAGCCCTGTAGAACCACCATAAAATAAATGTGGATATTTTCTATCAATCTTTGAAATTGGTCTGCCTTTATGGATTCACAGAATATATTTATATAAGCTGTACAGGGCTCTGTAGCATCAAACAAATGTTAGACATTCAGATATCCAAAGAATGTTTATTTGTCCAAATCTAAAATACAGGGGAGTGTACGCTATTTAATGCAAACTCTAGAGAACTGGGTATTTAACAAGAATATTATATGGTAAAAGTAATATACAACATTTCTTTGTGTGAACAGTGTAGTACACTTCAGTGTGTCTCATGTGTAGAGACACGCAAGTGCAGAGAACTGTAGCTACAGCTTGTTACACCAGATAATGTGATTTACCCAAAGGTTTTTGCCGACATCTTGTCTATTTCAAGTCTTCTCATTGATCGAGACAGGTGGGTGTCCACCCCAAAGTGCTGCATGATGACAGAGACCTGTCTCGTTTAATGAGAGAAGACTTGAAATAGACAAGATGGCAGTTTATACATTGTTGGATTACTTAATGGAGCAAAAAGAGTAATGGGGCATTTTCTAAATTCAAACTGACCCCCTGCAACTGGACACACATCGAGGACGAAGACGGAATCGCTAAGGTTGGTCGAAAATTCTCTGTGCTACACCAAACAGTACTTATCCTGTAACTCACATGGATACCAAACATTTTTGGTTAAATCACATTATCTGGTTTAACAATCTGTAGCTAAGAGCTGGTCATAAGGAAATTACCATTCACAAAGAAACCTACAGTATGATCAGTGTAGTAAAGTTTAGGGAATACTTGTAAAGCTGTGGGAGGAGTGTTGTCATGATCAAACTGCCATTCAGCTCCTCACGAGTCATCTGCTTGAAATCCAGAATAATGTCTAATCCCTGGAGAGGTATACAGTTCACGGGATACGGTTCTGCTGCAATGAGACACAGGCAAAGTAATTCTGTTTGTGTCTAGAATCCACTCCAGGAAGAAGTCAGGCTCCACGGTATTGTCTAAGACAAACAAATTAAATAAATTACTCTGTTGTAGTTTGAACAACAGTTGAACTGTGCCAGCATAACATCAACAGGCATAGAGATTGCATTTACAACAATATCTAGCCTAATATAAATATGGCATAACCCTCAACCTTTGCACAGTGACCAGACCATGTCTGCCTAGGTAGGTAGGCAGACAGTATCTACCTACAGACATGTCTATCAGGTACGCTTAAACAAATACTTTTTATAGTAAAACCAGCTTCAGTTTTAGAGATTTAAAATGGTATATTGTTGTATTATTGTTTCTCGTCACTGTTTGCTAGTAAACATAGTTTGCTAGATATACAATATTTGTTATTTAATCTGTTTGGCAGTGGTGGAAAAAGTACCCAATTGTCATACTTGAGTAAAAGTAAAGATACCTTCATAGGAAATGACTTGAGTAAAACTGAAAGTCACCCAGTAAACTACTACTTGAGTAAAAGTCTAAAAGTATTTGGTTTAAAATATACGTAAGTATTAAAAGTAAATGTAATTGCAAAAATATACTTAAGTATCAAAAGTAAAAATCATTTTAAATTGCTTATATTAAACAAACCAGACGGCACAGTTTTCTTGTTTTTTTATTTACAGTGAGGGAAAGAAGTATTTGATCCCCTGCTGATTTTGTACGTTTGCCCACTGACAAAGACATGATCAGTGTATAATTGTAATGGTAGGTTTATTTGAACAGTGAGAGACAGAATAACAACAAAACAATCCAGAAAAACGCATGTCAAAAATGTTATAAATTGATTTGCATTTTAATGAGGGAAATAACAATGGCCTCCAGTAGCTCAGTTGGTAGAGCATGGTGCTTGCAACGCCAGGGTTGTAGGTTCGATTCCCACGGGGGGCCAGTATGAAAAATGTATGCACTCACTAACTGTATGTCGCTCTGGATAAGAGTGTCTGCTAAATTACTAAAATGTAAATAAGTATTTGACCCCTCTGCAAAACATGACTTAGTACTTGGTGGCAAAACCCTTGTTGGCAATCACAGAGGTCAGACGTTTCTTGTAGTTGGCCACCAGGTTTGCACACATCTCAGGAGGGATTTTGTTCCACTCCTCTTTGCAGATCTTCTACAAGTCATTAAGGTCGAGGCTGACGTTTGGCAACTCCAACCTTCAGCTCCCTCCACAGATTTTCTATGGGATTAAGGTCTGGACACTGGCTAGGCCACTCCAGGACCTTAATGTTCTGCTTCTTGAGCCACTCCTTTGTTGCCTTGGCTGTGTGTTTTGGGTCATTGTCATGCTGGAATACCCATCCACGACCCATTTTCAATGCCCTGGCTGAGGAAAGGAGGTTTTCACCCAAGATTTGACGGTACATGGCCCCATCCATCGTCCCTTTGATGCAGTGAGGTTGTCCTGTCCCCTTAGCAGAAAAACACCCCCAAAGCATAATGTTTCCACCTCCATGTTTGACGGTGGGGATGGTGTTCTTGGGGTCATAGGCATCATTCCTCCTCCTCCAAATACGGCGAGTTGAGTTGATGCCAAAGAGCTCGATTTTGGTCTCATCTGACCACAACACTTTCACCCAGTTCTCTGAATCATTCAGATGTTCATTGGCAAACTTCAGACGTCCCTGTATATGTGCTTTCTTGAGCAGGGGGACCTTGCGGGCGCTGCAGGATTTCAGTCCTTCACGGCGTAGTGTGTTACCAATTGTTTTCTTGGTGACTATGGTCCCAGCTGCCTTGAGATCATTGACAAGATCCTCCCGTGTAGTTCTGGGTTGATTCCTCACCGTTCTCATGATCATTGCAACTCCACGAGGTGAGATCTTGCATGGAGCCCCAGGCCGAGGTAGATTGACAGTTCTTTTGTGTTTCTTCCATTTGCGAATAGTCGCACCAACTGTTGTCACCTTCTCACCAAGCTGCTTGGCGATGGTCTTGTAGCCCATTCCAGCTTTGTGTAGGTCTACAATCTTGTCCCTGACATCCTTGGAGAGCTCTTTGGTCTTGGCCATGGTGGAGAGTTTGGAATCTGATTGATTGATTGCTTCTGTGGACAGGTGTCTTTTATACAGGTAACAAGCTGAGATTAGGAGCACTGCCCTTTAAGAGTGTGCTCCTAATCTCAGCTCGTTACCTGTATAAAAAGACACCTGGGAGCCAGAAATCTTTCTGATTGAGAGGGGGTCAAATACTTATTTCCCTCATTAAAATGCAAATCAATTTATAACATTTTTGACATGCGTTTTTCTGGATTTTGTTGTTGTCATTCTGTCTCTCACTGTTCAAATAAACCTACCATTAAAATTATAGACTGATCATTTCTTTGTCAGTGGGCAAACGTACAAAATCAGCAGGGGATCAAATACTTTTCCCCCCTCACTGTACCTGTATGAGGTTTGGGTATAGTCCAGCCAGCAGCATGGCCTTCACCAGCTTGTCCTGGTGGCTATGTTGGTTGTAGAGAGAGGAGGATCTCTGGCAGTCAGCTCAACGCACCACCAGCCCAGCCTCAAGGAGGTTCTCACTGAACTGGGAGATCAGACCTGGAACGCAGGAGACATCAATGATTAATATAAATGTATGAAATATGTGGCATATGAATATCCATGGGAGACACACAAACCTGGGTCAACCCCATAACTGATTGAACCAATGACTAGGGCACTGAGTTTTTCCTGGTCAGGTCACATGGTCAGGAAAACTCAGGGCCCTATACAATGACACCCAGGAATTTACCCAATGTGTGTGAGTACATCTCTCCCTCTCTCTTTCACCGTTGATGAAGCGTAGGCTGGCTCCAGACAGTATGTACCTGTCCAAGTAGTCCTGTTTGGTCTCTGTCCTCCTCCTGCTGAACACTCGTCCAGCCCAACACGGCTCTACTCAACACCAGGTAATCCCTGTAGCTGGAGCCACCCAGGGCATCAGCCTGGAGGGACGGAGAGAGAGCAATATGGAGCGGGGGAGCAAGGGAGGCAGAGAGGAGGTAGGGAGGAAAAGACTAGATTTGGGTCAAATTTGCCAAACATCAATAATCTAACCACAATGAAACCAGTGTTTTTATGAAAACGTAAATGTTGAAATCATCAGCAGACATTTAAACTGTAAGCACTGTGACAAAAGTTGTGAACCACTGAAATAGAAATGGGAACTTTGCAGTTCATCATGTTATGTAAGTTAAATTGAACAATGACAGCCCAGGTGGACGTGGACTGAGCCAGTGTCTGACTTTGGAGACCAGGGCTCTGTTCTGCATGCTGATGTGGACGGGGTCTCTGGTGTGACTGACAGTTGGGGCAGGACACAGTGGAACAGAGCAGCTAGCACCAACACCTTCCCCAGGCGCGGGTCACAGGACACACAGGCCCTCTCACCCCCAGGGGAGTCAGGGCCTCTGTCTTGTCCAGAACACCTAGCGAGAGGAGAGGGAGGAGATACAGGAGTACTAAGAACAAAATCATAGACAACACAGTAATAACAGACAATAATACTTTCCCTGTTGAATGATCTCAATCCATTTGAGCAACTACTAAAACAATATCAACTGAAACAGTCTGGATGCTAAAAGTGAACTCAGATCTTTAGAGAGTCTCACCAGTCTCTTGCAGGTTGCGAACAGCATCTGACACAGCCTCTCGCTTTGGACTGTCCAACACCTGGGACAGGAAATTGACTGCCTGGAGAGAACCACCAAGAGAACATCAATATATGTGACAACGTGCAGAGACCTCACAACAATTACATTGACTAGCCCATGCACCTCTATATCTCCATTATTGCTCTGCCCCATCCCCTCACCTTGCAGTGGGGGCTGTGGATCTTGGCCTGTACCACCAGGCTCCCCAGAGGGGTGTGTAGGATCTCATGCATGGGGAAGGTAGTCATGGATTCCAGGCATTGCCGTGGGAACAGGTGGTAGGCGTGTCCGGGCTGGCATCGCCCAGCTCCCCCTCTGCGCTGAGTGATGTTGGAGCGGGAGATCCAGACTGTGTCTAGACATGACACCGGGGGACCAGCAAGACAAAGAGGTTTGCAACACCACACTGGTATATTGTAGTCAATCACCAGTTGGGTTTGCTTGGTAGCTAAATATGAGGAATGTTTTCCATATACACAACTTCAATGTGAACAGGGTTTTTTTTTAGGAGACAGAGCACTACTGTCCTGCTTTAAGATACGGTTTCTGCATTAATGGCTATGGCTGTATTATGTATTCACTGTGACAGTGCCAGAAGTGACCGTCACCTACCTTGGTCTGTGTGTCGTAGTTCTGCTCCTTCTGAGAGCCCGCGTTTACTACGTGAACGATGTCGTCGATGGTGATGGAGGTCTCAGCTATGTTGGTGGCCAGGACGATCTTCATCCGGCCCTCTGGGGGGCGCTGGAACACGGCCTGCTGGTCGCACACCGACATAAGGGGAAACAGAGACATTACTTCATACTGGAGTCATACTGGGGAAAGATAGAGGGGAAGGGGATCAGGAACATTATTTTATTCTAGTGCAGTCGTACGATCTTTCCTTGTGCACTTTAAGGCCAGGATTCATTCCTAACCATGTGACCTGACCAGAAATAATACAGGTAGCATGTTGTGAACAGGCAAGCGGGACAGAAAATAAAGACAACTCAAAAGTCATAGACCCCTTATTCCAGTCCTTACATGGTAGGATCAGAGCGGAAGGTTGATTTCTCCTCTAGTCTCTTCTGGACGGCCTTAATGTCCTGCCACCCTGGTAGGAAACACAGCACTGCACTGCACCTGGAGAGAGAAATCATCAATGAATCAATCAACTATCAGTCGACTCAGGGCTTAGCTTAAAAGACATGGAGAGATGAGGGGAAAGTAGAGTAAAGCTATCAGAGTGGTGAAGCGTTGGTTACCTGGCTCTCCCTGTCTGTGGATATGCTCTATCACATGATCTACTAATTCCAGGTCTGGTGGGGCATCATCCTTCTAAACATAGGACATAGAAAAGTCAATGTATGAACACAAACACATAAACTCAACAAAAAAAGAAACGTCCCTTTTTCAGGATCCTGTCTTTCAAAGATAATATGTAAAAATCCAAATAACTTCACATATCTTCATTGTAAAGGGTTTTCCCATGCTAGTTCAATGAACCATAAACAATTAATGAACATGCACCTGTGGAACGGTCGTTAAGACACTAACAGCTTACAGACGGTAGGCAATTAAGGTCACAGTTCTGAAAACTTAGGACACTAAAGAGGCCTTTCTACTGACACCAAAAGAAAGATGCCCAGGGTCCCTGCTCATCTGCGTGAACGTGCCTTAGGCATGCTGCAAGGAGGCATGAGGACTGCAGATGTGGCCAGGGCAATCAATTGCAATGTCCGTAGGCCGGACAGCTGATCGTCCTCGCAGGACGGACAGCTGATCGTCCTCGCAGTGGCAGACCACATGTAACAACACCTGCACAGGATCGGTACATCCGAACATCACACCTGCGGGACAGGTACAGGATGGCAACAACAACTGCCCGAGTTACACCAGGAACGCACAATCCCTCCATCAGTGCTCAGACTGTCCACAATAGGCTGAGAGAGGCTGGACTGAGGGCTTGTAGGCCTGTTGTAAGGCAGGTCCTCACCAGACATCACCGGCAACAACGTCGCTTATGGGCACAAACCCACCGTCGCTGGACCAGACAGGACTGGCAAAAAGTGCTCTTCACTGACAAGTTGCGGTTTTGTCTCACCAGGGATGATGGTCGGATTTGCGTTTATCGTCGAAGGAATGAGCGTTACACCGAGGCCTGTACTCTGGAGCGGGATCGATTTGGAGGTGGAGGGTCTGTCATGGTCTGGGGCGGTGTGTCACAGCATCATCGGACTGAGCTTGTTTTCATTGCAGGCAATCTCAACGCTGTGCGTTACAGGGAAGAAATCCTCCTTCCTCATGTGGTACCCTTCCTGTAGGCTCATCCTGACATGACCCTCCAGCATGACAATGCCACCAGCCATACTGCTCGTTCTGTGCGTGATTTCCTGCAAGACAGGAATGTTCAGTGTTCTGCCATGGCCAGCAGCGAAGAGCCCGGAACTCAATCCCATTGAGCACGTCTGGGACCTGTTGGATCGGAGGGTGAGGGCTAGGGCCATTCCCCCCAGAAATGTCCGGGAACTTGCAGGTGCCTTGGTGGAAGAGTGGGGTAACATCTCACAGCAAGAACTGGCAAATCTGGTGCGGTCCATGAGGAGGAGATGCACTTCAGTACTTAATGCAGCTTGTGGCCACACCAGATACTGACTGTTCCTTTAGATTTTGACCCCCCCTTTGTTCAGGGACACGTTATTACATTTTTGTTAGTCACATGTCTGTGGAACTTGTTCAGTTTATGTCTCAGTTGTTGAATCTTGTTATGTTCATACACATATTTACACATGTTTTTGCTGAGTTTACATATGAAAGAAAACATGCAGGGATGTACAAGCACAGTTAATTGGTCAGTCAGTCAGTCGCACAGTTGGTCAATCACATCCAAAACGTAAAATCTTAAAACGATAACACTATAGTATTGAAAAACCAGAAAGTCCACCCCTCAGCAATTAGCACATTACTCACCCGTCCCAGTGGGTCTACCCTGGGTGGGAGCGGTGGTGGTCTCCCCATCTCCCTCAGGACCTCCTCCAGGTACCTATCCCTGACGGGGTGTATGAACCCGGGCACACTGACCAAAGGGCAGCCCCCGAAGTACTGGGCCAGCCTCTGGTTGTCCCCTGTGGAGCTCATCAGCACCACATGGAGGTTGGGATTGTCCTTTAGCATGGCCGGTAGTAGGTCCTTGTTGACGTTTCTCTCGTGTACCTCATCCACCACCACGTGGCTGACCCCCTCGCTGAGGCATTGCCCTGCAGCTTCCTCAGTAACACCCCCACTGTCAGGAAGAGAAGGGCCCCTCCACTGTGCTCTGGGGGACGGCTCTCCAGACGCACCTAGAGGACGGGGTGGTCGGGGCCATGGGAGAGTGAGTGACAGCAGAAACGTTCAATGAATGAGAAAAGTTGAGCTACAGTAGAGGGAGTGACAGCTCAAATGTCCAATGAACTCACCTGGTACCCCACAGAGCGTTTGAGGGCAGGGCCCATCTCGTGGGCAACACGATGAGCAACTGACACGGCACTGATCCTCCGAGGCTGGGTGACCAGGATGTTACACTCCACCCCCTGCACGCCCCGTACAAGTCCCTCCAGCAGGAAGCGCGGGATACATGTCGTCTTGCCGCACCGTCTCCCCGGCAACCACTATGACCCTGGAGGACTCCCCCGCTGACAGCACATGTTCCCGGTGGGCATCGACTGGGAGCTCCAACCCCAGGCCCCGCCGTCTCCCACTCCTCCTGTAGGTCGTCGCTCAGCGGCTCGGCCTCCTGGATAGAGAGGGGCCGGTATGACCTGCCTGTGATGGCATCTGTGACGAGGTCCTCTTCCTCCTCTTTGTCCTGCTGGTTAAACCTTTGCTGGCTTCTCTCATCCTCTTCCTCCAACAGCTGCCACTGGGTACTTGGCAATTCAAGACAATACGTAAACACAACCCCAGAGGCTATGATGAGGCTAAACTAAATTCCTGGCTAATGACGTTAGCTACACAGTATGTATTTCCAGTGGTAATGATTCAGGATAACTGACTTGTGTGAGGTATTCTCTGACGCTGTGCTCCAAGTATCTCCAGGGGACAGGGCAGTCTGTCTCTCTACCCCATCTCCCGCATCACCTCCTTGTGGTACGTAGCATGGGTCAGAGGTTGGTTGGCCTCATCAAGCAGCTCCATTTCCTGGATAGGGTTCATTAGGCACCAAACAGACGAAAACGGAACGAATCACGGAGGGACTATCTGGACTATGCAGTAAGAAACTCTCATTTTCGTTTTCCGATGCTAAAATGTTCTGTTCCGTGCTCTAATGAACACAACCTTGTTATTGGAATACAGGAGGGAAAACATAATCTAACACGTCAATGCATCAGTAATTCTCTGTGTTATTTCCTCTGTCCTCACTTTCAGTTTGAGACAGGCCAGTGCAGCAGCTCTCCTCTCTGCCACTCTGTGAATAGCAGAGGCCACGAATATCATCTCCTCTGGCCATCGCATGGTAAGCTCACATCTCTTCACCTTACCGCCCACCGTCTTGTACTGCACCAGCTACTGTAGTGGAGAAGAGGAGAGTGAATGACAGTGTTTTAGCATGGCAGTTCAGAGATGAGTGACAGGGCGTTAGACAGGCTGTACGATAGCTTATAACAAGTGTTACGAAAGGCTGTATTATGGCGCATCTTGGACCTAAGAGACATAGTTACTGACCCTGAATCTGTTGTAGGACGTGGCCACCTGGATGACCCTGGTCAGGAGAGCTTTAGGATGTATGAACAGGGAGAGAGCCTGGGAGAGGTCTGAATTCTCCTCTGGGTCTGCCAAGGTAGCTGTAGACCTCGCCCTCGTCCCACTCTCCTCCTCGCCACCTGATTGTCTGGGCCAAGCACACCCATCACCTGGAGAAGTGAGAAAAGACAGAAGGAAATTCTTGCATTGTTTTATTAAAGGGCTTTCCTTCCCTCAGCTTGTGACAGGCAGCGGCTGCAGCATATCGTTCTGCATCAATCTTCTTGAGAGCAAAGCCCTCCATCGTGAGGGCAAAGCCCTCCACCTCCATCTTGCTGGGCCAGAGGAGTGTGACAGTAGCTCTCTGAAAACAGACACATGGCAACAGTGACATAATTATTAGGTGGAGATCGAGCCTTTGGGAAGAGGCGTCATCTGCATCTAAGCAGTGTTATATTAGTCATAGTGCTTGTCTCTCTGACCTTGACTCCCCCATCGTCTGTGCAGTTGTACTGGATGTGTTAGGAGAGGTGGGATACCCCAAGCGACCGGGATATGGTGGTGAACAGCAGGCTCTTTGGCTCAGGGAACTCTTTCAGGAGGTCACTGGCTGTTTTGATATAAATGATGAAAGATGGAGGTCAATTACTTAGCTAGCTACATGGCAAGGCAAGCAAGCTATCATTGTCATATAACCTGAAATAGAGACATGTAAATAACTAGCTAGCTAATGACTATAAGCAACTTTTCAAATACTAGCTACACTATATATATAAAAGTATGTGGACACTCCTTCAAATTAGTGGATTCGGCTATTTCAGCCCTACCCGTTGCTGACAGGTGTTTAAAATTAAGCACACAGCCATGCAATCTCCATAGACAAACATTGGCAGTAGAATGTCCTTACAGAAGAGCTCAGTGACTTTCAACATGGCACCGTCATAGGATGCCACCTTTCCAACTAGTCAGTTGGTCAAATTTCTGCCCTGCTAGAGCTGCCCTGGTCAACTGTAAGTGCTGTTATTGTGAAGTGGAAACATCTAGGAGCATCAACAGCTCAGCCGCGAAGTGGTAGGCCACACAAGCTCACAGAATGGGACTGCCGAGTACTGAAGTGCGTAGCGCGTAAAAATTGTCTGTCCTCGGTTGCAACACTCACTACCAAGTTCCAAAATGTCTGGTGAATATGCAGGCCATGGAAGAACTGAGACATTTTCAGCTTCCAGGAATTTTGTACAGATCCTTGTGACATCAGGATCTCGTTTCGGTTTCTCTGTGCATTCAAATTGCTATCGATAAAATGCAATTGTGTTCGTTGTCCGTAGTTTATGCCTGCCCATACCATAACACCACCGCCACAATGGGGCACTCTGTTCACAACATTGACATCAGCAAACCGCTCGCTATCTGCCATCTGCCTGGTACAGTTGAAACGGGGATTCATCCGTGAAGAGCACACTTCTCCAACGTGCCAGTGACCATCAAAAGTGAGCATTTGCCCACTGAAGTCAGCTACGACGCCAAACTGCAATTAGGTCAAGACCCTGGTGAGGATGACGAGCACACAGATGAGCTTCCCTGGGACGGTTTCTGACAGTTTGTGCAGAAATCCTTCGGTTGTACAAACCCACAGTTTCATCAGTTGTCCAGGTGGCTGGTCTCTGACGATCCCGCAGGTGAAGAAGCAGGATGTGGAGGTCCTTGGAGGGCGTGGTTGTGAGGCCGGTTGGACGTACTGTCAAATTCTCTAAAACGACGTTGGAGGTGGCTTATGGTAGAACAATTAACATTAAATTACCTGGCAACAGCTGTGGTGGACATTCCTGCAGTCAGCATGCCAATTGCACGCTCCCCCAAAACTTGAGACATCTGTGGCATTGTGTTGTGCGACAAAAAACTGCACATTTTAGAGTGGCCTTTTATTGTCTCCAGCACAAGGTGCACCTTTGTAATGATCATGCTGTTTAATCAGCTTCTTGATATGCCACACCAGTCAGGTGGATGGATTATCTTGGCAAAAGAGAAATGCTCACCAACAAGGATGTAAACTAATTTGTGCACATAATTTGAGAGAAATAAAGTTTTGTGCATATGGAAATTGTATGGGATCTTTTATTTAAGCTCATGAAACATGGGACCAACACTTTACATGTTGCGTTTATATTTTTGTTCAGTGTATATATTATATATAGTACTATTTCATACAAATAAAAATCTCAAAAACATCTTATAACTCTTCTGCAGTAAAATCTCATATACCCAGGGACAGTACTTCTCTGCAGCTGCCACCTGAACTCATTACAGGGTTGTGGGTTTGTTTCCCACGGGGGGCCAGTATGAAAATGTATGCACTCACTAACTGTAGGTCGCTCTGGATAAGAGCGTCTGCTAAATTACTAAAATGTAGAAATTACAAATCCACTACCCCATTCCACTATTTTGACCCTATCTGGTCCAGCACCATGCCAATGGCCTGGGAGGATGGGACACCACCACTCAACACACCCTGTAACTCTTCTGAAGTCAAATCTCGTATACCCAAATATTTCTCTGCAGCTGCCGCCACACATCTGTGGTTTACGTTCCATTTCTGTGGTACAGTTGATATCCATTGCTATGAACGCTAAGAAGCCAACCTTACTGAAGCATAAATCACTCATTGGCCTATCCCTCTGTGCTGGCAAAAATCTACTACTTACTGGGATCCTCCCCTCACCCTTTACCCATGCTCCTCTACTTTCTTCACTGCCTCGACATACGACACCTTCTGTAGGCCTACCACACAGGCAGGATTCTAAGGGATACACAGTACCTTCTGCACTATTCTAACTCTGGCCACTTCAACCTGCTTCTCTCGCACTGGACACTTCCGATACCCAGCAACATGAGCATCTCTACAGTTGACACACACAACTTTATCCACCAAAACGACAAAATCCTCTGTCCCATGCCCTCTTGCACACTTCCCACGTCTTGGAATCTCCCTCTTACACACTGCTGCAAGATGACCAAAAACACTGCACCTGAAACAGCGCAGTGGATTTGGCACAAAGCTCTAACAGGATAACTGATACAGTGCATTCTGAAAGTATTCAGACCCCTTGACTTTTTCCACATTTTGTTACGTTACAGTCTTATTCTAAAATGGATTAAATTAAAAGATGTTCCTCATCAATCTACACACAATTCCCCATAATAACAAAGTGAAAACAGGTTTTTAGACATTTTTGCAAAAATAAAAAAAGGAAAAAAATACCTTATTTGCATAAGTATTCAGACCCTTTGCTATGAGACTCGAAATTGAGCTCCGGTGCATCCTGTTTCCATTGATCATCCTTGAGATGTTTCTACAACTTGATTGGAGTCCACCTGTGGTAAATTCAATTGATTAGACATGATTTGGAAAGGCAAATCTTGGCCTGAATGCCAAGCGTCACATCTGTAGGAAACCTGGCACCATCCCTACGGTGAAGCATGATGGTGGCAGCATCATGCTGTGGGGATGTTTTTCAGTAGCAGGGACTGGGAGACTAGTCAGGATCGAGGGAAAGATGAACGGAGCAAAGTACAGAGAGATCCTTGATGAAAACCTGGACTTGAAAAACGATTGAACATCTTTGGAGAGACCTGAAAATAGCTGTGCAGCGACACTCCCCATCCAACCGGACAGAGCTTGAGGGGATCTGCAGAGAAGAATGGAAGAAATACAGGTGTGCCAAGCTTGTAGCGCCATACCCAAGAAGACTTGAGGCTATAATCGCTGCCAAAGGTACTTCAAAAAAGTACTGAGTAAAGGGTTTGAATACTTATGTAAATGTAATATTTCCGTTTTTATTTTTTATAAATTTGCAAAACTTTCTTAAAACATGTTTTTGCTTTGTCTTTATGGGTATTGTGTGTAGATTGATGAGGATATACAGTATATATTTTAAATCCATTTTAGAATAAGGCTGTAACGTAACAAAATGTGGAAAAAGTCAAGGCGTCTGAATGCTTTCCGAATGCACTGTATATCCTAACATGACTTTGTCGGATAGAGACTCTGACTCAATACTCAAAAGGAATGACAGTGACTCCTCTGTTTCACCATGCTCCCCACCGGGTCTGCGACGCAGCAGACACACCAAACGCCAGGTGTCACAAACACCAGGAATCTTCAACTTCAGTTGCTCCACCTCCACACTTAATGCTACCCCAGAAATCACTCCTTTCAATAGTGCCATGTCTCACACTTCCTTAGTGACAAAACAAAATAATGAATGACACGTGTATATACTGTCACCTTCTGGCGTGGAGTGATAAGGTGCCACTCCACAATTACATTTTTTTGCAGGTTGACATTTATTGTCATGGGTCTTGACTCTTGTCCTGTAGGCAGAACTGAGCAATTTCTGCTTAAATCAGCTTGGCTATATTGTAAAATGTATGAAAACAAAAATTGGTTTAAGGTTAGGCGTAGGCATTAGGATTAGCAGTGTGGTTAGGGTTAGGTTTAAAATCAGATTGTATGACTTTGTGGCTGTGCCAGGTAGTGACCACTCTGCAGACCTGTCTCCATGACGAAAAACACTAACCTGCCATTTTTTAGATGACAAAAAACATACTTTTAAAGTACAGTTTGTATCTAATTATTAATTAATGTATTTATTTGACCAGACAAGTTCCTCTAGAAGACCCCTCTAGAACTACTACTTGTGTATAATAGTTCCTGAATAATGAATGATGCATCACAATTGTCTTTAAATGCATAAATGCCTACATGCAATTATTATAAAATAAAATAATTACTGTGTGATGTCAATCGTTTTTCAATGCCACCTGTCACAAAATGATCAGCAGCTGGAGAGTGGGTGGTCTGATCCCAGGCAGGCCTAGTGATAAGAGGTTGTCCTGGGTATATAATGGTCTATGAGCTCATACAATATGCCCTTGGCTTGAGGTGAAGGAGAATTGAGAAATGTTTTGGTGCTAGCAGTCACTGCAGGTGAGTGTGCATTAGAATTATCTTTTAAATTGCTTATTCAAAAAGCTATAACAGAAAAAATGAAAAAAAAAAGGGTCACTGATATGATAGAATCCTATGTGGTTTTCAGAACATGGAATTGTAGCTCATAAGATAGGGCATATGTGGAGTTTCTCATTACCTATAATGAACCTGAGCGGACGGTATTTTGTGATGCTGCAGGGTTGTGAACGGGGTAGAACGGGGCAGAAGCTCGGCCCTACAGCTGGCCATGGCAGGTAAGACTGGGAATTCCAGTATGAATAAGAATACAGCGTAATGATAAACTTTAAATTGATTGTGTTGTTAATGAGTTATTACAAATTGTT